TGAAAAGGGAAGCCCATTTCCTGATCACATCTACGTGGATGCAATCAGAAAGCATAAAAACACCAAAATACACACCCATCTAAGTATTAAGGCCATGGATAATTCCTGAATATTCCCCAAAAACAGAAGCAGACAACCATATCTGCACATGTCCAGAAACAAGATAAAGTGACTGAGGCAAATGAGCAGGAAGGAATTCAGAAAAATGATTATAAAATGTATCAAAACACCATACAATAGAGTTGAGAAAAATAAGGAAGAAGTCAGGAAAGTGCTATAGGAACAACCAAATAAGATAGATACAACATTAGAAACAATTCAGAACCTACAGAAAGAGGTCCAAATGATTAATAATAGAATATCAGAAATGGACAATACACTGAAAAGGCAAAGGAGTAGAATTGAAGAGATAGAAGCCAGAACTAGTGAGCTAGAGGATAAATCTCACAACACTACTAATAGAAGAGCAAACACAAAAAAGGATAAAAAAATCTGAAGGCCTAAGATTCATGTTGGACAAGATGAAGAGGAATAACTTAAGAATTATGGGCATTCCGGAACAGGAACAATTACACAGGTCCACAGAGGAGATAGTGGAAGAGATTGTGGAAGAAAATTTTCCTAACATCCTGAAAAGTGAAAAGATAGCATTCAGGAAGCTCAACAAACCCCAGGATGAATAGACCCTAAAAGACAATCAGCAAAACATCCTAATCATGCTCTCCAAAACCAAAGAAAAGGACAGAATCCTGAAAGCAGGTAGGGAATAGAGAAGTGTAACATAAACAGGCAAGCAAGTTAGATTAAGCTCGAATTGCTCAACAGAAGCCATGCAGGCAAGAAGGCAATGGGGAGACATATATAAAACCCTGAAAGAAAAAAAACTGCCAACCAAGAATCCTCTACCCGGCAAAGCTGTCATTCAAATAGGATGGTGTAATCAAAACATTCCAGGATAAACAGAAGCTAAGGGATTTTGCCAAAACCAACCCTGCTATGAAAAACATCCTAAAGGAAGTTCTGTGGACTGAGAACCAACAAGAACAGACAACAACTACAGAACGACATACGTGGCAGCATCGC